CCAGGTCGGACTGGATGTTCGAAGATGATTCAGTCTTGATTCCAGTTCTTTTAGTCTTTGCTGTAGCTCATGCTTCAGTCGGTCTTGTTGGCATTTTTCTTCAGTTCTCTTGATGTTCTCTTCTGTCTTCATATTCAGAAATGTCTGTTTTTCTTGGGTAGAGCAGTATTTCGCAGCCTCAGCCTTTACACGTCCAATTCTCACTTGCTCCTTGAATGCCTCCACTTTGTCACTTCCTGATTTTCCTCTGCCTTCCGGAAGCTGTCGTTTCTCTTCTTTTATGAGTCTCAAAGCAATTTCATTTTCTTGCCTCATTCTGTCCAGATCTCGCCTTACTTCCTGCAGTAGCATTTGTTTGTTCTGTAGTAACTCATTGAAACTTTTCAGTGCTTGAACCTGACTCTCCAGCTCATTCTTTTGTGATTGTAGTTCTGTAGTTGCTGTGCGTTCTTGCTGTAACAAGGAATCTCTTTCATTTTGGACTTCCTGTCTTTTCTTCTCAACATCTCTGGCCTCTTGTTGAAGTGTCTGTTTTTCTCCATTGATGACGGCCATTGCTTCTGCAGTTTCTTGTTGTGTCTGCTTCACATCCTCCATTAGAACCTCCACTTCTTCTTTCTCAGCTTGTAGTTTCTGTCTGCTCTCCTTCACATGTTTTTTGCATTCATTAAAGAGATTTCGAGCGGTTTCAGTGGCTGTTCTTTCTCTGTCCAGGTCTATTCTCAGCTTGTCCAGTCGTCCTTTCTCTATCTGCCAGGACAGACTAGAAGTTTTGAGTTCTTTAAGTCCCGTCTCCAATTTATTTAATCTTTGCTCTTGTCGGATTGCTACGTCATGTTTCTCTTTGTCCTCCTCTGCCTCCACTTCTTTGTCACTTTCTGATATCCTTCTGCTTTCCTGAATCTGTTTTTTGTCTTCCGTAAAGAGTCTCAGAGCAACTTTATCTTCTCGTCTTATCCTGTCCATGTCTTTCCTTGATTCTTCCACCTGTTGTCTGTCATTCTGTAGCTCTGTTATCTGCTCTCCCAACTCATAACCCTTTAACTGTAGATATGTAGTGGCTGTGAGATCTTGCTGCATCAAGGAGTGTTTTTCATTTTGGACTTCCTGACTTTTTTTCTCCACATCCCTGGCTTCCTGGTGAACTTTTTGTTTTCTCTCACTGACGGTGGCCATTACTTCTGCAGTTTGTATTTGTTTATTGATAACTTCTTCCATTAGGACCACGAGTTCTTGTTTCTTTGCTTGTAGTTTGCTTATTTTCTCATTCATACGTTCTTTGTGGTCAGTGCGTAGGTTTAGAACAGTTTCAGCTGCAATTCTTTCCTTGTCCATATCTATTATCAGCTCCTCCAGTTGTTGTTTCTCTACGAGCGAGGTCAAACTTTTCAATTTTGTTTCCAGTTCATTTAGTCTTTGCTCTAGGTCATGCTTCAGTTTATCTTGTTGGTGTTTTACTTTACGTCCCGTGATACCCTCGTCTGCCTTCATCTTCAGAGTGATCTGCTTTTCTTGGTCAAAGCAGTATTTAGCAGTCTTAGTTTTGAAACAGCTAATTCTTACTTGCTCCATCAATGCCTCCACTTGGTCTTTGTCATTTTCTGATTTCCTCCTGCTTCCTTGAAGCTGTCCTTTCTTTTCCTTTAGGATTTTCCAGCCAACTTCACTTTCTTTCCTTAATCTGTTCATTTCTTTCCTCGAATTGTCCACTTGTCTTTTATTCTGCAGTAACCCATCTTGGACCTGTCTATCCAGCTCAGTATTTCTCGACTGTAGATCTGCAACAGCAGTGAGGTCTCGCTGTATCAATTGGTCTTTTTCATTCTGGACGTCCTGTCTCTTCTTCTCTACCTCTTTGAGTTCTTGTTGAATTTTCTGTTTTTCTCCATGAATAACAGCCATTGCCTCTGCAGTTTCTTTTTGTAACTTGTTGACATCCTCCTTTAGGATCTGCAGTATTTTTCTTCCAGCTTGTAGATTTCTTCTAGTCTCGTTTATATGGTCCTTGCTGTCACGACATAGGTTTACTGCTGTTTTTTCCTGCTTAAGGTCTATTCCCAACTCACCCAATTGTTTCAGACTGAACGACTGGAGTCTTTTAAATCTTGTTTCCAGTTCATTTAGTTTTTGCTCTAAGGAATTTTGCTGTCTGAGTTGTTGAACGTCTATGTGTTTCTTTGTGTCCACCTTTAGTTTCAGAAGTGTTTCTTTCTCTTGGTCAAAGGAGCTTTTTTCACCCTCAGACTCTAAACTTTTATCATGCATATTTTCCTCAATCTCTTTGTCGTTTCCTGATTGCTCCTTTTTACTGTTCATTTGTTCCATTTCCATTTGAAGATGTTTTCTGTTGTCCACAACCTGCTGTGTCTCTTTTATATTATCCTTCTGCTGAGTATTTTCCTTTAAGGTTGATTCAGGATCTGATGTAATCCCCTCCATGGAGTTCAAGAGGTGTAGGCTCTTACCAGGTTCATCCACAACCGTCTTCTTTCTTCCATCCAAAGCCTTGACATATGTTTGCTCTTCACACACCACACTTTTCACCACATCTGTCGCTGGATTTATAAGTGTGAACATTGTCCTTGATATTTCTTTAAGTATCTCAACAAAACTAAATATCTGACTTTTAACTTGATCCAGGTCAGCAAGCCTTTGCGTCAATAAAGCAGATAGTGCAATTATACATTTAGAATTATCTTCAGATTTTTTTATTTGCTTTTTAATCCTGTCTTTAGCCTCTTCATTTGTTTCTCTAAATTTGGCTTTCAAAGATTCAATACGTTTTAATCTTTCCAAAAGAAATTCCTCTTTTAAACAAAGTGCTGACATCTTTTGCTCCATGTCGTTCTTTTCACTTAAAAGCATGATCTTTTGGATATCGAATATGCTTTTCATTTCAGCCATGTATTCTCTGTCAAGTTTGAGACTGTCAAGCGCTGTTTTAATGTCTTCTCTTTTGTGAATTTGAAGTTCTTCAAATGAAAAACGACTATACAAATTTTCCATTTGTTCTAATTTTTTTTTCTTGAGCTTTATTTGTTTAACCTTAATTTCCAATATGAAATCTTGTTCAGCAGCTTTCTCATCCCAAATATCTTCAATAAGCTTGGCAAGGTCTTTAAGTTGGATTTGTAGATTGTGTTGGTCAATATTTAAGGTTTTTTTGCATCGTATCATTTGTTTTTGTATTTTCTCCACCATTTGATCTTGAATTGCTTCAGAATTGGTTTCCTTGCCACAGTGTTTGTGTTGCCGGTCCATGTCCAGAGAAACATTAGACAACACTTTTGTCTGTGCTGTTTCAGTGTGTGGTTCGGGGTTCTGCGGACGCACCTCCTCCACACCTGTCTGCACCTCTGACTGTTTGCTAACGCTTTGGAGTGACATAGATTTGACTTCACTCCTTCTTTTCATAACAACTTTTTTACACTTGACTGTTTTGTATCTACTTTCCTCCCGCTCATTCCATATCTGTGATAAATCATTGCATAACCTTTGAATGGATGTTTTGCTGATTCCCAACCTATTTAGTCTGTTTTTCACTTGCTTGCTTATCTTTTGACTCTGCTGTCGCATGTTCGCCCTGAGCTGCCTCTCTTTTCCTGGCAGCTTTTCTTTGTCATATGCAAGCTGGTTTTCCACATCGCCTTCAGTCTGAGTCATTTTACTGATGAAAGCCTCGGTCGGCCCAGTCCCCTGCTGTGTCCGGACATATCCACACATCTTTGCATACAGCTCCTCAAACTTTATTCTCAGAGATTCTATCGATGCAATATTCTCAATGAGTGTCTTCTCTCTTGTCTCTAAATGAATCGTCTCTTTTCTCATCCTCTCAGTGTTGACCTCGGCCTTTTTTTGAATGACTTTTTCTCTCTCTTCTCTAACTGCATTCATAGTTCTTTCATTTTCTCGTCTCAATGAACGTATCTCGGCAGTCAAAGTGTTTCGTAGTTGTTCCAGGTCAAGTGGTTGCTCTTTTAGTTCTTGATCCTTAATCTCTTCTTCTTTACATTTCAATATATATTTTTCCGAGAGTGTTTCTTGTGTTTTAGATGACCAATGAGCCATATCTTGAATACTCGACTTTTCTGTGTTGACGCGATGCACAACAAGGCTGATCTCCCGTCTGCAATTTTCCATGTTTGAAATTGTGTTTTCCAATTCACTTTGTGCCTCTGTTAGAATATTTTGGTTCATGTTTAAGAGATCTCTTTGTTTAAGAATTTTACCTTTTAGCAAGTTGATTTTATGTCTAATCCCCAGACCTACATTGTGTCTTGTACTCTTCAATTTCTGCATCTTAATCTTTAATTCCAGTTCCAGATTTTTTATGATTAGCTGTTTTTTATTCACTTCAAGCAATAATGTAGCACAATGTTCCTTCATTTTTTCTAACCTCTCCTTTTCCAATGTAAAGATGTTGAAAATATGTTCAACTTTTGACCATATGAATTCATATTTTCTGTTTTTTTCGGTCTGCACATTCATATTCTTATGTTTTTCTGTTGACAAAGATTCTATGAAAACCATCTGTTTATCTTTTTGTGTTCTTAAGTTAGCCATCGCAGTTGTTAAATCATTTTTTATTTTGTCTACACACCGGTTCTGTTCATTGGTCAGTCTATGCTGTAGCTCTATAAATTGGGTACTGGATCTTGTGAACCTTTCCATTTTGATATCTACATCAACAACCATTTCTTTAAGCCTTGCCCACAGATTTTGATTCTCCTTTATTTTGATTATTTTTTCCAGCAGACGTTTTCTCTCCTCTCTAATGTTATTCTTATCACGATTCAGCTGTTCCATCTCCCCTTTGATTTGGTTCAAAACATATTCTCCCATTCTCATCTTGTCTATGAGATACGTTTTAAGCAGTTCCACTTGTTCTCTTTCAGTTTTTAATTTTCCGATAGAAATGTTCAGCTCCAGTCTTAGTTTTGTCAACTCCTGCTCCCTGATTGTTTGTTCTTTTTCTTTCAACACAATCTTATTAGTTAGCTTCACAAGTTTATCTTCAATAAGAGCCGCCTTCTCAGCTCTTTGATAAGTGGTGTCATGAAGCAGAGTGCGTTCTTTTCGATCCAGGACTTCTGCGATTGCTTGTTGGAGCATGTCTCTGACCATTTTCATTTTATCACAGCATGTATCCAACTTTCTAACAACATCAATCCCCTTTTTTTGCAGCTTGTCTTTCCTCTCTCTCTCTTCATCCATCTCTCGTTTCTCACGGTTCATTTCTGACCTCAGTTTGTCCACTCGCTGTTGTTCCAGTGCGAGTTGTTGATTTTGTCTACTCAGGAAAGACAGTGTTTCTCCAATATTGTCCCTGCATCTCGCCAACAGCTGAGTACAGTCGCTGCCTTTGCCTCTGTTGGAGCTCAGAGCCGTGACCTGCCGCTTCAGCGCGTCCATGTCGTGTATGCGTACTTGTAATGTTGTCATTTTCTGTTGGAGGAGTCCTCTCAGCTGGTTTTTCACTGTTTGGATCTGTCTTTGCCTCGCCTTCAGCTCTGTGTCCATCTGCTCCTGACGTTGCTGCAGCTTCTGTCGATCTATGTCCAAATGGTTGTTCTTCAGACTGAGCTGTTGCCTCTGCTCTCCAATCTCCTTCCAAGCAGCATCCAGATCTTTATAGATAATTTCGGCTTGTTCTCTCGCGCTCTGGGCTTCCTCTTCTTGTTCTTTGAGCGCTGCCTGCTGACGCTCTAGTTTCTGCGTCTTCATGGTCTGATCCATTCTCAGTTGATAAAGTTTCTCTTTCTCCACTTTGATTAGCCTCATGGTGGCCTCACTCTCCTTGCGTTTTTTGTTGACTTCTTTCATCAGGACTTTGAGCTGTTCTCTTTCTATGTTGGACTTTCTTCTGTTGTCTTCGAGCTGATGTTTCTCCTCATTGATGAATCTTAGGGTTGTATCGGCTTCTTCTCTTCTTCGGTCCAAGTCCTTCATCAAAGAATTCACTTGTTCCTTCTCCTTGTCTAGTTCTTCCTGTTGCAAGTCAATATCCCGTTTCTTCAAATCCATTTCCACCTTTGTTTTTTCCAGCTGAATTTTTTCTTCAACAATAAGTTTTTTTGCACAACTCACTTCTTCGTTGTGTTTCTCCACTTCCATCTTTCGAATTTGCAGTTTTCCTGCTTCGGACTGCAGCATACTTCTGTTTGCCTGGAGCTGCAGGTTCTTGTCATTGATCACACTTTTTGCAGTCTCAATTTCTTGACTTATTCCTTCCATTTGGTGTCGTTCTGCTTGTAACAACTTAAGGAAGGCGTTCAACTCTCTGCATTGACCGTCTAGTTCATTTTTCCCCAGCTTTATGTTTTGTTGTCTCTGGACCAAATCATTAAAAACATTCTTTAGATTTTGTCTTTGGTCGTGAATCCGAGAAGCCATTAGCTTTAACTTATTCTTCTCAGTGTAGGCCGCCGCCAGGAGATGGTTATTGTGTTCCTTTTGCTTTAGAAGTTCAGATTGTGTGATTTGAAACTGATTTATTTCCTTTATAATGTCTGCCTTATTTTGTGCAATCAATTCAACGTACATCTCGACTGCTTTTGTCTCACGCACTAACTCTTGTTCTTGCAGTCTGCCATTCTCTATTTTCATTTTGTCATCATACATTTTCCTGAGAGCTTTCGTTCCCAGCTGAAATCGACCAATGTGCATTTTGAGTAGATCCCTGCTTTGGTCCATTTCCTTATAAAATGTCCTTAACAACACATGCTGCCGGTGAACAAGTTTGTAATTTTGTTCTACTCGAGACACATTTTTTTCTATCGTCTCTTGCGTATTTTCAATAAACTGCATCAACCTTTTGCCGATGCGTTCTGCAAGCGTGGTTTTACCCATGAGATCACGTTCTTTCAATTGAACATCATGTAGTAGTCGCTGAATGTTTTGCTTGTCAACCAGAAGCGCTTTGTTCTTGGAGTCCATTTCGGCCTTCATTTTAGCCACTTGCCTTCTCTCTTCTATAACACAATCCCTCGACTGTTCAACCACCTGCTTGCGCTGGTCAATATCATACTTGGTGTTGTCCAGTTCCTGTCTCTGCGCTTGCACAAGGCTCTGTTGGATTTGCAGGTGTTCAGACATTTTCCAGAAGTCGCTTTCACGTCGATCCAAGTCTTTGCTTCTAAGGGCAAACAGTTTTAGACACATCTGAATGCTGTTTTGTGCCTTGTGCGTCTGCATGGTAAGATGTCTTAGATGGGATTTCTCAGATTTGATCAGGTTATACGCTTTATTGCCGTCTTCTTTCACGTGTTGCAGTTTGTGTATGGTCAATTGTAACTTGCTGTACACCTTTTGTATGGCCTTTGTACTATTCGTCAACGCCTCATGTTTCCTGTTGATATTCAATCGCGACAATTCTACATAATTTCTCTGTTTGTCAAGCATCTTCATCTTCCTTACCATCTTATCTTTTTCTTCTTTTAATTGAGACTGTTGTTGTTCCATGACTTTTCTTTGGACAAACGTGTCTGTCAGTATTTTGGACTCCTTTTCGCACTCTAATTGCTCAATGAGATTAGAAAGTGTTTCCTTCTGTTGAACAAGATCATTTAGCTTTTGTTTGAAATTGTTGAATAAATACACTACCCTCTGGTTGCTGTGCTTGATTTTGGCCATTTTCAGTTCAATCTCCTTTTGAACGTTTGTATGCAACTGTTTAAGTTCAAGTGCCATCTTGCGAATACAATTCTCTTTGTTTTTTAATGCAGATAACTTTTGAGTAATGTGGTTTCTTTCATTTTTTAGAATATCTCTCACACTGTTGAATCGAGTCCACTCAAGGTCCTCCTTCTCTTTGAACATTTTAACCTGGATTATCATAGTTTTAAAGTTTTTCCACAGCACATGTACTTGTTCTTGAACCTCCTGTAGATGGTTCCTTTCGCTTTTTATTTCAAGTAGCTTTGTTTGCATATTTTTGACACAATCATTGATAAATTGATCTTTCTGTGCTTCCAACTGTAGCAGGTAGCACTTAATGGCATCACTTTTTCTAGTTATCACATCCACAACATTGACATTGTTCAGTGTTCTCATCCTGTCTGATCTCATTCCTTCCATTTTGCTTTTGTCCAACTCCTTCACTTGCTCTTCAAAACATCTTTTCATTTCTTCCAATCCTTGTTTTTGGGTCATAAACATCTCGCCAATCTTTTCAAAACGCTCTCTTTCCATGCTTTTTTTTTCAGTCAATGTGTTTTTCATTTCTTGTTGTTCCATCGACAGATTTGAGATTGTCAACTTGAGAGGATCAATTTCTGTTTTAAACACGTAACTCAGCAGCTTGCTCTGTTCTTGACGAACCTTCTTTTTCTTTTGAGTCAGCGTGCTGCAAATCATTTGGATTTCTTCAGTCTGATAGTCAAGGCTTTCCCTAAGTCTTTCCATATCTGTAACTTTCTTCTCAATAAGAAACTTGATTTTATCCAATGCCAATTTGAATCGAGTCACCACCAGTTCCTCTCTGGCTTTCAATTCAATCATGTCCTTTTGAAGCCTACATCTTTCCTCTTCCATTTGTAGTCCCTCCAGATCCACAGCCAGCCTTTTTTGACCAATTTCAGCTTCATTTTCTTGTCTCAATATCTGCAGTTGCCATTTTTCCACTTTACCTTTTGTGATATGGACCCAAGATCTCATGTCATCAATTCGATATTGTTCTCTGATAAAGTCTTGAAGCAGATCATATGCGTTTTGTTTCTTCATGCCCAAGTCTTTTGTTTGCATGACAATATCGTTCTTTGCTTTTTGCAATAAAAGTGTGCACATTTGAACCTTCTGCATAATTTTGTAGACGTATTCACTTGCCTGCCTTAGCTGTGATTTCTCTGTGTTCAACATCTCCCTTTCTTTTTCCATATTCACCTTTTCTGCTGCAAACAGTTCAGCATTTTGATTTTTAAGTCGGCTTTCATTGTTTTTAATTAGTTCTTTACATACTTCTTTTTGTGCTGCAAGCGTTTTGGTTAAGTTGGACATTTTCTTTTTAAAGTCCTCAATATAAACATGTTTTTGTTCTAGCTCGAAGCAAACCTTTAGCACACGCTGGCAATTTTTTTGTAGAGTACTCCGTTGATCACAATCATTTTCTGTAAATATTTTAAGTTTTTCTCTTATCCTTCCAGTATATCTTACAACCCTTTCTTTCTTGGATTCCAGTTCATACCTTTCATTTTGCACTTTTTCTTTTTTATCTAACAGTTGTCTGCCTGCTTTACGTACTTCCATGTCTGCTTCGATCTGATCTTGCGTATGCTCTGTTCTCCCTTTTCCTTTTCCCTTTGATGTTCTTTCATTTACTTTGCGTTCTTTAAGCTTCAAAACCTGGATTTGAAAAATGCTTTTGTGATGCATTTGTCGATCTCGTTCGTAGATGTCTGATATATTCTTCTTTATTTCATCAAGAATAGTCTTTACATCTCCTAATCTCAATTGAACCGCTGCTGTCAATAAAAACAATCTTTCTACTGATATCTGAATCCTTTCACCAGTTTCTTGAACGTGTGTCCTCATCTCTTGCATCTTGCCTTTCTCTTGGTCCATCTGGTCCTTCTCTTTGTCTAGATTCAGTCTCTGCAGCCTCAGCGTGTCCATTGGCTGTCTTTCCAGTACAAGTTGTTCTTTTTGTCCAATGATAAGAAAGAGTTCTTTTTCAATACTGTCCCACTGTCTCTCCAACCGCTGAGCAGAGTTTCCGATCTCTGCTCTGTCCTGGCTCAGAGCGGAGACCTGCTGCTGCATTGTGTCCATGTTCTCTGTGCATGCTTGTAATGTGGTCATCTTCTGCTGGAATCCTCTCAGCTGCTTTCTCAGGGTGTTGAGCTGGCCTTGTCTTGTCTTCAGCTCTGTGTCCATTTGCTCCTGGTTGTTCTGCAGCTTCAGTCTATCCATGTCCAAAGTCCCATTGTTCTGCTTTCTTATGTCCTCCCGAGCAGAGTCCAGATGGCGACCTGTTTGGGCAACATAGTCCTCTTCTGTGTTCTTTTGTCCGTCAACTTGTCTCCTTAGGAAAAGCTCTGACCTGATTTGTTGGAGCTGCTGTTTCTCTTGATTGATTTGACTCTTTCCAGTCTCAATCTCTTGACATTTTCTCTCCAGGTTTTTACACAACACTTCCACCTGCTGTCTTTCAACTTGCAGTAAGAGTGTAAGGCTGTGCAACTCTTTGACTCGTGCCTCTAGTTTTTTGTGCATTAGTTCTTGTTCTTGTTGTTTAAGTTCTTCCTCCTTCTGGTTTTGTTTGTCTTGTTGGTGTTGCATTTCTTGTCTTTGGAATTCCAGTTCAGCTTTTGTTTTTAAAAGCCACTCTTTCTCTTCTTCAACTAACTGTGTGGACTTTTTAATTTCCACTTTTTCATCCTCCACTTGTGACAATATTACATAAACTTTGTCTTTTTCAACACGTAATACTTCAAGCTGTGGTTTTTCCTCATGAATCAGTCTCTTTGCTGAACTCATTTCTTTTCTGTCCATATGTGTCTTCTGTCTCTCCATCCTCTGCTCCGTCAGTGCCTCCAACTCTTGGTGTTCTTCTGTTCTCAGATCAATCTCAAGGTCACGTGGCTTTACATGTTCTTGCGTGTCCACTTCGCTCTGTATTTTGTGAAGCAGGCGTTTTTCTTCATTTAATCTCATCATATTTTCTTTTATGTGATTGAACTCTGTTATTTTATACCGCAGTTGTTCTCTTTCAGTTTGCAAAGATCTTCTGGTTTCTTGAAGCTGCTGTTTTTCATCGTCTGTTTCTTTGGACTTCTTTTCCAAGTCCTTTTTCATGGTCAACATTTGTTCCCTCGTGGCTCTCAACGACTCCTTGAAGCAGTCTAATTTTCGCCGCTGTCTCTCAATTTTTGTTTTTTTGTGTCCCAGTTCTAGGAAGACCCTCTCCAGCTGTAGTTTCTGACAGCGGATGCGTTCGGACATACCTTGGACATTGCTTTTCTCTGTTGTAACCATGAACAGAAGATTGTCCATTTTTTCCTTCACCTTTACAAACCCATCTCTAGTTTTAGCTGACAAATATTTCTCTTTCCTGAGCCCTTCATTAAGTTGTATGAATCTGTCCATTTGGGTCTTTGCCTCAAACTGCCATATCTCCAGATTTACTTTTTCTTCAGTGATTACTCTAAGCTGTTTTTTTCCTTCATTAATTAGTCTCTTCCCTGAACTAATTTCTTTTCTGTACAAATCTTTCTTCTGTCTCTCCTCTGTCAACTCTTGGGGGTCTTGGGTGCTCAGATGAGGTCCTTGCGAGCCCATCTCTGTCTGTATTTTGTGAAGCCGGAGTTTTTCTTCATACATTTTTTTCATGACCGTCATTATCCTTTCAGTAATATCATCCCAAAGTTGTTCTTTTCCAGTTTGTAAAGACCATCTGGTTTCAAGGATCTGCTGTTTTTCATCATCCGTTTCTTTCACCTTTCTTTCCAAGTCGTTTTTCATTTTCATTATCCGTTTCCTCGTGGCTTTCAGTAGATTTTGGAATTGATCTAACTCTCGTTGCTGCGTCTCGATGTTTGTTCTCTCCAGTCCCACTTCTTGTAAGAGCCTCACCAGTTGCCCTTTCAAAGAGCGAACGTGATAAGTCATACCTTGGACATTGCTTTTCTCTGTTGCAACCATGTCCAACACTTTGCCCATTAGTTGCCCTATCCTTGCCAACTTATCTTTTGTTGTCGTTACCAGTTTGTCCTTCATGACGTCTTTACAAAGTTGTGTTAATTTGTCCATTTGGGCCTTTGCCTCAAACTCCCACATTCCCGTATCAACTTTTTCTTCTTTGATTACTTCTGACGGTCTGGTTTGTGGTTTGCTTCTTCCCACTGCTACGGTTTCAAGTATTCTGTTCGCCTTTGGTTGTCTCAGCAGTTCTATTTGTGTGTTCTGTATTCTACTCATGCAACTCTTTACGTTTACACCTCTATTCTCAAGCCTCTGTAGATTGCTGTATATATCATGCATTTTATTTTCCAATTTGTCGATGTTTTGGCTTTTTCCTTCCTCGTTACTTTGTTTGAGAAATTCGACTTTTTCTTTCAGCTGTTTCTTTATCTTCATGTGGAATTCATCAAAATCCACTTGCTTCTGCTTTTGAATGGCACTAGCATCAGAACGGATGCTTTGAATGGCACTAGTGGCTTTAAAATTCTCCTTATTTGCTTGTAAGTGTTTGAGAATGTCAGCTATTTTACCGCTTAAACCGGTCGATTCCTCTTTCAACATCTCACTCCCATCGGCTATGTTTTGATTTTCTCTGCGAAGTTCTGCACACTTCTTCTCCAGAACGTCACACACTTGGAGAACATGACCATCTTGCTGTAATCGTTCCATTTTGTTTTCCAATTTTAGACATTTCTCAGTCATAGCAGCAAATGTGTGTTGCTTTTGAGAATTTACCGGATCTTTTTGTGTCTGTGTTGCGTTATTTTGAAACGCACCAATATTTTTCTTCTGCACGCTACTCAAAATATTTTGATAACACCTTTTCCTACTCTGCAACTGATCAACAACTTTATCAAAACAACATTTCTCTTTACAAGATTCAGTTAGTAAGCCTAAAATGCGTTCTTTTTTCCCCTGTAGAGTGCTTACAGCCGCCCTCAGTTGATCCCGTTCTTCCATGATAGATTGGTATAGTTGTGCTAGTTTGTTTATTTGCGTAGAACTCGTCTCAATTCTTTCACTTTGAGAAAATTGTTGACCTGAAGTGACATCAACCAACTCCTCTGTCTTTTCTCTCACTTTGAAAATTGAACTTTGGAGAATTTGCACATCTCTTCTGAACACCTCTGCATCAATAGAAACCTTTTCCCATTTCTCGTCCATTCCATCTAGTTCGTTATGCGTGTCAAAAATTGTTCTTTGAGTGTGAGTTATGATGTTTTCTATTTTTCTGATTACTTGTTTCATGTCTGCCAGTCTTTCAAATACTCGATCCCGGTCTGATATTTGAGCAAGTACCCCAACAGTCTCCATACATTTCATTGTTTTATTCTCCACAACCTCAGCTTTGGTTCTCTCAATGTCCTGTTTTACCTTCTTCAAGAGCTCCAGTTCTCCGTCAACCTCCGACTTCTTTGTGTCCAGCTCCATTCTCTCTTCATGCAACTTTTCCTTTTCTATAATCAGACTTTCTCTCTCCTGTTTTAAAAGTGTTTTGAGTCCAACAGCATACTCAAATTGTTTCTTTTGTGTGGCCAACGTAGACAGCGTTGCTTGCGTTTCTCTAAGCAGTGTAGCAACTAATCCCGTCGCTTTTTGCTGCTGTTCTTTCAGATAATCCCACGTACGTTCAAAAAAGAAATTTTGCAGAACATTTGGATTTTGTTGATCGAGTTTGCTTACTTTTTCTTTCGCATACCCACTCACTCGTTCTGTTATTTGTTTCAGGTTTATTTTCATGATTTCCAGCTGCTCTTCTTTGGTTTTTATGTCTGAAGTGTTGTTTTGAAGCATATCTTTTTGTGTCTGAAATGGATTAGCCCACACTTGGACATTTGCCTTCTCTGGACTTATCTGGTTTAATGACCTTTGCATATTTTGATTCATACTGTGAAGATCTTCCTGTGTGTTTTCTAACTCAGCTTTTCTCTCTAATAGCTCACTAACTAACGGCATTTTATCCACTATTGCTTTTAGAGTAACATCCGTTTCAGTATTTTCTTTCTTCATTTCAACATTTCTCAAAACAACACATTTTTGCCTTTCCTTGCCAACTTTTTCAACGCACTCCGTTATTTTTTTACTTTGGAATTCAAACTGTACTCTATTCTTTTGCAGCCTCTCACATACATTTTCAAATGCCTCTTGTTTTTGCTCAATTACTTCAATTTTGGATTTAATCTCCTTTTTATTTTTCATTGCCTCAGTTAAGTTCATTTTTAGCACTGGAAATAGTTCAGAAATTAATTTTGATCTCTGGACCAGCGCCAGTGTCTTGTCTTGAATGTCTTTCCTCATCGCAATGTTGTGGGTAATGGACTTTTCGGTATCTGCTTTCATCACATTGAGAGTCCTAATGATATCTTTGAATTGTTTGGCTTCTTCCGCTGCAGCTGTCTTAGTTCTGTCTATCTCCTCCTTTTTGTGTTCCAATAAAGTCAGTTGGATTCTCCCCACTTTTGCTTTCACTTCCCTTATCTGAAGTGACAGCTCTTTAATACTGCTTTTCCCCCAATTTATCTCACCCAGGAGATTGTCCATGTCTTGTTGTCTGCTCTCCATCGCTGCCCTTGTCCGACAGAGACGTATTCGTAATCCCATGTCTAGATTTGTTAACTTTGATTTCTCTTTCTCAACAGTCGCTCTGAGTCTAGCCAGTTCATCTCGCTCTTTTAAAGCTTTGATATTAATTATGCTTTCTGCGTCATCTATAGGTACAGCTTCGGCTTCCACAACAACACAATCCATTAACTCTGTGTGTTGACTCTTGGCTCCTTGTTCTGTGTCATCCTCGCTTTCCCCAAACCTTTTCTCGTTTTTCAAAGGGCTTCCACTGTCCAAACTCTGGTCCATAATTCCCTCACATGCATTTGTCGTAGCTGCAGTGTCACCATCACTTTCCTTCTCTTTCAGTAGCTCCTCTCGCTCAACTTGGGTTTCCAAAATCTCTCTCCTTTCCTGCACGAGCTTTAAAACACCCATCAACGTGTCTTTTTGTCGTCTCATCTCTTGTTTAACTTGCTCCAAATCCTCCTTTGTCATCATTAGAAAGCTTTTTGACTCTGTAAGGAACACGCTTTCTGCCTCAAAAGCAGCTGTCATCTTGTGAAAGTGTTGTTTTATAGCATTGATTGTTTTTGTACCCATTTCAGATGCCTGGTTGGATCCAATTGAACGAAGCTTCCTGACCTTCGGCGTACTCTTCTCTCGGCTCATACTTTTAAAATCTTCCTTAAATACAGCCTGCAACTTGTCTTTCTCGGGTAATATTTTGACCAGTTGATTTTCTTCTTGTGTGGAGTTCAGCATTCCCATCGCTCTCTCTTCTTGGGCCTGCTGAAAAATGACATCTGATTCTGCTTTTGGTTTACAGAACTGATCCTTTGCCGATCTGTCTTGGAGGTTGCTTTTTTCTTTCATTTCATTAAGAAGACGTTTGATACTGTCCAATTTCTCCCATGCTTTCTTGCTTTCAAATTGAAGTTCCTTTAAATCACTCCACGGAAGCCTCCCCTCAATTCTTACGCCCTTCAACACCTCGGTAATCTCCATGGATATCCTCTCTAAGCCTTTATCCAAATTCTTAATGACATTTTGAAAGTAATGGACAAACTCTTTCACATATACAGCATTTCCCATCTCGGCTCTTCTTTCCCTTTCCTCGTGCTGTTGAATGAGTGCAAGCTGATTTTGTATCGCTTGCTTTTCCCTCCGAAGGGCTTCCACTTCCCCAGAAAGCTCGTCCCGCTGTCTCTGCACTCTGAGTTTGGCCATTTCCAGTTCGTCTCTCTCTCGCAGGGTCCTTTCCAGCCTCTGCTCGAGCTCCCTCTTCTTCTTGTTGCTTTCTCTCCTCAGCAGGTCTTTCTCCTCCCTTATTTGGTTCCAAATGTTTTGCAGCTCAGCCTGTTTCCGAGCGGCCTTTCTGAAAGCCAGCTCACTTTCTCTCCTCTGTACCGCCAGCTCGACCTTAAGCGCCTCCTTCTCTTGCATGTCTTTTTTGGTCATGCGCTTCTTATCATCCAGTTTCTGATTTTGATGCTTAATAGTTTGGGTCAAATGGCTTATTTTACTGATTTCTGATTGAATATTTGTCCATTCATTTTGTATACCTACTGTCAGTCTTTCCACATCTTGATTTATGCCTTCTGACTTATGGCAAAGTTCTTGTATAGTTGTCAACAATATCTCTCTTTTAACAGTGCCATTTTCTTCCCTTCTTTTCTGTATTTTTTCAGCCATCCTTTGAACATTATCTTTAAAGTTTTGCAATTTAGCCATCTTCAGCTGAACCGCTTCCTGTTGTTTTTGTACTTTCAGTTTCAAAATATCAAGCTCATCTCTTTCTCGCACACTTTTTTCCAACCTCAGATCCAGATTCCGTCTTTGTTTCTTGGCTGCGGTCTTCATCATTTTAATGTCACTCAGATCCTCCTTCATGTCCTGTATGTCATCTCTCGCCACTAATAAAACCTGTTGAAAGTCTCTCATCTCCTGAAGTAGCTCCTCGATGTCGGTATCGGGCGAAAATTCGTCTTCCACAAAGCTGTCATCCGATTCTGGCATAAGTTCTGACTTTACTGATCGTATGACGTCTACGGTTGCATACAGCTCTTCTCTCAGCCTTTGAATATCTTTTTCTGAATATCTCTGCTCAACATTTGACGCCATCTCTGCCGTTTTATCTTGAGAATCCAGTTCTTGCATAACTGTGGTCTCTTCTTTTCTTCCCCAAAATGAAGTGAATGTCCTTCGAAATGTGTGTATTGTCTTTTGTAATAGTCCGTGAGTTTCTTTCTGTGCTGATTTGTCTGATTTAAAGCTAGGGTTCTGTAGTTCATTTATTTCTAGTATGATCTTTTTAATGTCTTCGCTCGTTACCTGCATGTTGCCCATATCCGACATGATCTGTCCTCTAACTGTCTCCTCCTCGTTCAGGAGTTGTGCGATTTGCGCTTCAATTGCTTTAATCTGTTGTTCATTCATCTCTGTTTCGTTGTCATAATGGAGTGACATTGTTTCTTCATGCATTTCCCTCTGCACCTGTAAACATTTTCTGTATTCTTCATGTTCAATCACGTTTCCTTGAGTTGCGTCTGCGTTTTGCTGGACATAATCTTTCACAAGAGCTCGTTTTGGATTTTCTTTTTCAATCCAACTGTTAACTTTAAGTTTCAGATTTTTAAGTAGTTCCTACACAAAGAACAAAAAATATCTCTTAACTAAAAAATGTGTCATTGCTAACTGTTATTACCTACCGTAGAACATCACTTAAAGCTGAGGTACCTTACTATCAAACCACTGGAAAGGGAACTATTGTACTACAAACCATCTAAAGAGTAGTTTTCACATTATCTCAGTCACATCTTTAGACTCACAGAACTCTTTCTTACATAAAACATTTTCTAACAAAATGAAGGCAGCGTGTTGTGGTCTGATTTTCTGACAGAATCCTGTAGTTGTTTAGAATACAGATATTTTTATCTTAATGTGCATGCAGATTATTCAAACTATGTATATTTGCTTAATTCATTTCACTTTGAAAATCTAAGGCACGGGGGTCCAAACTTTCTAGTGAGAGGGCCACTTTAAGTAACTAGATTTGTACAGGGGCTGACAACCCGATTGTAAAACTGTTTTGACTGGATTTGGGCTGCGCTGGGCTTTAAAATGGGGTATGATATGTCCACGTTGATTCGATAGCTATTAGTGCCATTAAAAGAATTTTCGGACACACAAAAAAATTAAATTAACTAATTGACTATTGACGTATTTGTTTGAGACCCTCTATTTGACTGGGGATTACAGGACAACAAAACTAGCTACAAACAAACTTATTTTTGCTGAGTAAAGTAGACAATCCAGTCTTTCAGAATCTGGTTTCATATTTCACAGAGTTTTTTTAAATAATATTCTGTGGGTCTTGAAAATCAGTGAAATCATTAAAAACGACTGGCAGTCAATGAGTTAACAACCGGATTCTAAAGGGAACCCAGGACCTTCTTTCTCAGAAGCGAGAGTGCGAGAGTGTACTAGTTCAATGAAGTTTAGTTAATTTTTTTATGGTTTGATATTCAGGTACACCAGCTTTAATACAAATCTTTGAACACTACTCACCACATATCTCTTCACTTGTTCTTGGTTCTGTCGCGCCTCCTTCTGAGTGCACTGCATCTCCTCCCTGGTGCTGCCCAGCTCTCCCATGGTCACCTCCATCCCGTCCTTCACCCGTCCAGCGCTCACCATCTGGCCCACAAAGTCCTCCATCCTGCACCGAAGTTCCTCTCTCTGACGGGACACCTTGATCTTCTGAACGTCCAGCTCGTCCCGCTCCCTCACCGCCCTCTCCAGCCGCCGGTCCAGATCCCGCGCCTTCCTCCAGAGCTGGAAGTTACTCCATTTGACGTGTGAGTTTGCGTCCTGCTCCATCTCTTTCTGCAGTCTCATCAGCTCGGCCTCTTGCCTCCTGCTCATTCTCATAGTTTTGACCAAATGGGTTTTCCTTAGCTCTGCTTCTGCACTTGTAGCTTCAACCTCTCGCACCTGTGTCTTTAAACAACGCAACATCTCATCTAAGTCTTTCTTTTGTTCTGCAATAGAATCCCTCAAACGATTTAATTCATCCAGTTCTGCCTTGGCAACTTCTCTGGTGTCTTCTAACTTTGCTTTGTCTTTCTGAATTTGCCTCATCATTTCTTCCAACTCACATTTTTCCACATGAGCTTTTAATTTCTGTTGATGTTCCTCTTCTTCTATAGTTTCCCATAATTGTTCGATCTCTTTGACTATCCGAGTTGCTTTATTTAAAATGTGGAACGCCTCTTTCTCGACTTTTCTGTCTTTCCAGATTGATCTAGTTTCTTTGATAATTTGATTTATGAGGTTTTTTTGTCTGATAATTGTTCCTTTCTTAGATTGAAGTTCGATTTTGGGTTTGACCTGTGTCCATGTCAGCTCGGTTTGTGTCACCTTGTTTTTGTGGCATCTTTGTTCTGTAAAGTAAAAAAAAAAAAAAAGATTACTTTGAAGGGGGAAATGTATATGGAAGGGATAATGTATAGTACGCAGGTCATTATCGGAAAAAAGTACCGACACCGCTTTTGCCCTGAAGGTAGATATTTTCCGATAAATGACCTGCGTACTATACATTATCCCGCTTATTATACGGCTTTGTACCAACAGAACACACAAAATAAACTTCAGTCCACTCTTAGGAATGCTGAAAAGTTTATTTAATGACAGAAAATAAAATAGTTCCCAAAGGTTTTCCCGTGGCTATGCGAGTAACAGTTAGGTTAGCAACAGTTAGGCTAGTAACAGTTAGGCTAGTAACAGTTAGGCTAGTAACAGTTAGGCTAGTAACAGTTAGGCTAGTAACAGTTAGGCTAGCAACAGTTAGGCTAGTAACAGTTAGGCTAGTAACAGTTAGGCTAGTAACAGTTAGGCTAGCAACAGTTAGGCTAGCAACAGTTAGGCTAGTAACAGTTAGGCTAGCAACAGTTAGGCTAGCAACAGTTAGGCTAGCAACAGTTAGGCTAGTAACAGTTAGGCTAGTAACAGTTAGGCTAGCAACAGTTAGGCTAGTAACAGTTAGGCTAGCAACAGTTAGGCTAGTAACAGTTAGGCTAGTAACAGTTAGGCTAGTAACAGTTAAGCTCACCGCACACCGAAACGCAGCGCCTCGCGGCGCGTCATTTGACGCGCGTTCATGACATGTGTCAAATTACACCGGAACGCCTTGGCTAGCGTCCTTTTCCAGCTGATCGCAGATGAAATGGGTGAGTGACGTTTGGAAGTTTCTACTAATATTTTGGGGGAGGAAACAAAGTATTTACGTGAAATTATGCTGGCAAATATTACAAGAAAAGACTATTTGGACCCATTTTTTAAACAGGCTAATAACTAGCTCTGGGTAACGCTGTACTTGGGTTATCAAGCTTTCCTCGTCCATTGTGACCGGTTTACTTGAGCAATAGCGCCGACAAGTGTGTAAATTTGAGACCGCGCTCACAGCTACGTGATAAGAAGCGCAGAAGAAGAAAACTACGGGTGCTTGGAGGGACAGTTTCAGCCGCGGCGCCGCGTCTGGATTCAACAAAACTGAATCGTGGCGCCCGGTCCAGCGTCGCCGCGCGTCACTGCAACCTTGGTGTGCGTTCTCTCATAGAAAATAAAGGAGGCGGCTCTTTTGCCGCGCGTCAAGGCGTTTCGGTGTGCGTTGGGCTTTAGGCTAGTAACAGTTAGGCTAGTTACAGTTAGGCTAGTAACAGTTAGGCTAGTAACAGTTAGGCTAGTAACAGTTAGGCTAGCAACAGTTAGGCTAGTAACAGTTAGGCTAGTAACAGTTAGGCTAGTAACAGTTAGGCTAGTAACAGTTAGGCTAGCAACAGTTAGGCTAGTAACAGTTAGGCTAGCAACAGTTAGGCTAGCAACAGTTAGGCTAGTAACAGTTAGGCTAGTAACAGTTAGGCTAGTAACAGTTAGGCTAGTAACAGTTAGGCTAGTAACAGTTAGGCTAGTAACAGTTAGGCTAGCAACAGTTAGGCTAGTAACAGTTAGGCTAGTAACAGTTAGGCTAGTAACAGTTAGGCTAGTAACAGTTAGGCTAGTAACAGTTAGGCTAGTAACAGTTAGGCTAGCAACAGTTAGGCTAGTAACAGTTAGGCTAGTTACAGTTAGGCTAGTAACAGTTAGGCTAGTAACAGTTAGGCTAGTAACAGTTAGGCTAGTAACAGTTAGGCTAGTTACAGTTAGGCTAGTAACAGTTAGGCTAGTAACAGTTAGGCTAGTAACAGTTAGGCTAGCAACAGTTAGGCTAGTAACAGTTAGGCTAGCAACAGTTAGGCTAGCAACAGTTAGGCTAGTAACAGTTAGGCTAGTTACAGTTAGGCTAGTAACAGTTAGGCTAGTAACAGTTAGGCTAGTAACAGTTAGGCTAGCAACAGTTAGGCTAGTAACAGTTAGGCTAGTAACAGTTAGGCTAGTAACAGTTAGGCTAGTAACAGTTAGGCTAGTAACAGTTAGGCTAGCAACAGTTAGGCTAGTAACAGTTAGGCTAGTAACAGTTAGGCTAGCAACAGTTAGGCTAGTAACAGTTAGGCTAGTAACAGTTAGGCTAGTAACAGTTAGGCTAGTTACAGTTAGGCTAGTAACAGTTAGGCTAGTAACAATTAGGCTAGCAACAGTTAGGCTAGCAACAGTTAGGCTAGTAACAGTTAGGCTAGTAACAGTTAGGCTAGCAACAGTTAGGCTAGTAACAGTTAGGCTAGTAACAGTTAGGCTAGTAACAGTTAGGCTAGCAACAGTTAGGCTAGTAACAGTTAGGCTAGTAACAGTTAGGCTAGTAACAGTTAGGCTAGCAACAGTTAGGCTAGCAACAGTTAGGCTAGCAACAGTTAGGCTAGTAACAGTTAGGCTAGTAACAGTTAGGCTAGTAACAGTTAGGCTAGTTACAGTTAGGCTAGCAACAGTTAGGCTAGCAACAGTTAGGCTAGCAACAGTTAGGCTAGTAACAGTTAGGCTAGTAACAGTTAGGCTAGCAACAGTTAGGCTAGTAACAGTTAGGCTAGTAACAGTTAGGCTAGTAACAGTTAGGCTAGTAACAATTAGGCTAGCAACAGTTAGGCTAGCAACAGTTAGGCTAGCAACAGTTAGGCTAGTAACAGTTAGGCTAGTAACAGTTAGGCTAGCAACAGTTAGGCTAGTAACAGTTAGGCTAGTTACAGTTAGGCTAGTAACAGTTAGGCTAGTAACAGTTAGGCTAGTAACAGTTAGGCTAGTAACAGTTAGGCTAGCAACAGTTAGGCTAGTAACAGTTAGGCTAGTAACAGTTAGGCTAGTTACAGTTAGGCTAGTAACAGTTAGGCTAGTAACAGTTAGGCTAGTTACAGTTAGGCTAGCAACAGTTAGGCTAGTTACAGTTAGGCTAGTAACAGTTAGGCTAGCAACAGTTAGGCTAGTAACAGTTAGGCTAGTTACAGTTAGGCTAGTAACAGTTAGGCTAGTAACAGTTAGGCTAGTAACAGTTAGGCTAGTAACAGTTAGGCTAGTAACAGTTAGGCTAGTAACAGTTAGGCTAGTAACAGTTAGGCTAGTAACAGTTAGGCTAGTAACAGTTAGGCTAGTTACAGTTAGGCTAGTAACAGTTAGGCTAGCAACAGTTAGGCTAGTAACAGTTAGGCTAGTAACAGTTAGGCTAGTAACAGTTAGGCTAGCAACAGTTAGGCTAGTAACAGTTAGGCTAGTAACAGTTAGGCTAGTAACAGTTAGGCTAGTAACAGTTAGGCTAGTTACAGTTAGGCTAGTAACAGTTAGGCTAGTAACAGTTAGGCTAGCAACAGTTAGGCTAGCAACAGTTAGGCTAGTAACAGTTAGGCTAGCAACAGTTAGGCTAGTAACAGTTAGGCTAGTAACAGTTAGGCTAGTAACAGTTAGGCTAGTGACAGTTAGGCTAGTAACAGTTAGGCTAGTAACAGTTAGGCTAGTAACAGTTAGGCTAGTAACAGTTAGGCTAGCAACAGTTAGGCTAGTAACAGTTAGGCTAGTAACAGTTAGGCTAGTTACAGTTAGGCTAGTAACAGTTAGGCTAGTAACAGTTAGGCTAGTTACAGTTAGGCTAGCAACAGTTAGGCTAGTAACAGTTAGGCTAGTAACAGTTAGGCTAGCAACAGTTAGGCTAGTAACAGTTAGGCTAGTTACAGTTAGGCTAGCAACAGTTAGGCTAGTAACAGTTAGGCTAGTAACAGTTAGGCTAGCAACAGTTAGGCTAGTAACAGTTAGGCTAGTTACAGTTAGGCTAGCAACAGTTAGGCTAGTAACAGTTAGGCTAGTAACAGTTAGGCTAGTTACAGTTAGGCTAGTAACAGTTAGGCTAGCAACAGTTAGGCTAGTAACAGTTAGGCTAGTAACAGTTAGGCTAGTAACAGTTAGGCTAGCAACAGTTAGGCTAGTAACAGTTAGGCTAGCAACAGTTAGGCTAGTAACAGTTAGGCTAGTAACAGTTAGGCTAGTAACAGTTAGGCTAGTAACAGTTAGGCTAGTAACAGTTAGGCTAGCAACAGTTAGGCTAGCAACAGTTAGGCTAGTAACAGTTAGGCTAGTAACAGTTAGGCTAGCAACAGTTAGGCTAGTTACAGTTAGGCTAGTAACAGTTAGGCTAGTAACAGTTAGGCTAGTAACAGTTAGGCTAGTAACAGTTAGGCTAGCAACAGTTAGGCTAGTAACAGTTAGGCTAGTAACAGTTAGGCTAGTAACAGTTAGGCTAGCAACAGTTAGGCTAGTAACAGTTAGGCTAGTAACAGTTAGGCTAGCAACAGTTAGGCTAGTAACAGTTAGGCTAGTAACAGTTAGGCTAGTAACAGTTAGGCTAGTAACAGTTAGGCAAGTAACAGTTAGGCTAGTAATAGTTCGGCTAGTAACAGTTAGGCTAGTAACAGTTAGGCTAGCAACAGTTAGGCTAGTAACAGTTAGGCTAGTAACAGTTAGGCTAGTTACAGTTAGGCTAGTAACAGTTAGGCTAGTAACAGTTAGGCTAGTAACAGTTAGGCTAGTAATAGTTCGGCTAGTAACAGTTAGGCTAGCAACAGTTAGGCTAGTAACAGTTAGGCTAGTAACAGTTAGGCTAGCAACAGTTAGGCTAGTAACAGTTAGGCTAGTAACAGTTAGGCTAGTAACAGTTAGGCTAGTAACAGTTAGGCTAGCAACAGTTAGGCTAGTAACAGTTAGGCTAGAAACAGTTAGGCTAGAAACAGTTAGGCTAGTAACAGTTAGGCTAGTAACAGTTAGGCTAGTAACAGTTAGGCTAGTAACAGTTAGGCTAGCAACAGTTAGGCTAGTAACAGTTAGGCTAGCAACAGTTAGGCTAGTAACAGTTAGGCTAGTAACAGTTAGGCTAGTTACAGTTAGGCTAGTAACAGTTAGGCTAGTAACAGTTAGGCTAGTTACAGTTAGGCTAGCAACAGTTAGGCTAGTAACAGTTAGGCTAGTAACAGTTAGGCTAGCAACAGTTAGGCTAGTAACAGTTAGGCTAGTTACAGTTAGGCTAGCAACAGTTAGGCTAGTAACAGTTAGGCTAGTAACAGTTAGGCTAGCAACAGTTAGGCTAGTAACAGTTAGGCTAGTTACAGTTAGGCTAGCAACAGTTAGGCTAGTAACAGTTAGGCTAGTAACAGTTAGGCTAGTTACAGTTAGGCTAGTAACAGTTAGGCTAGCAACAGTTAGGCTAGTAACAGTTAGGCTAGTAACAGTTAGGCTAGTAACAGTTAGGCTAGCAACAGTTAGGCTAGTAACAGTTAGGCTAGCAACAGTTAGGCTAGTAACAGTTAGGCTAGTAACAGTTAGGCTAGTAACAGTTAGGCTAGTAACAGTTAGGCTAGTAACAGTTAGGCTAGCAACAGTTAGGCTAGCAACAGTTAGGCTAGTAACAGTTAGGCTAGTAACAGTTAGGCTAGCAACAGTTAGGCTAGTTACAGTTAGGCTAGTAACAGTTAGGCTAGTAACAGTTAGGCTAGTAACAGTTAGGCTAGTAACAGTTAGGCTAGCAACAGTTAGGCTAGTAACAGTTAGGCTAGTAACAGTTAGGCTAGTAACAGTTAGGCTAGCAACAGTTAGGCTAGTAACAGTTAGGCTAGTAACAGTTAGGCTAGCAACAGTTAGGCTAGTAACAGTTAGGCTAGTAACAGTTAGGCTAGTAACAGTTAGGCTAGTAACAGTTAGGCAAGTAACAGTTAGGCTAGTAATAGTTCGGCTAGTAACAGTTAGGCTAGTAACAGTTAGGCTAGCAACAGTTAGGCTAGTAACAGTTAGGCTAGTAACAGTTAGGCTAGTTACAGTTAGGCTAGTAACAGTTAGGCTAGTAACAGTTAGGCTAGTAACAGTTAGGCTAGTAATAGTTCGGCTAGTAACAGTTAGGCTAGCAACAGTTAGGCTAGTAACAGTTAGGCTAGTAACAGTTAGGCTAGTAACAGTTAGGCTAGTAACAGTTAGGCTAGTAACAGTTAGGCTAGTAACAGTTAGGCTAGTAACAGTTAGGCTAGTAACAGTTAGGCTAGTAACAGTTAGGCTAGAAACAGTTAGGCTAGAAACAGTTAGGCTAGTAACAGTTAGGCTAGTAACAGTTAGGCTAGTAACAGTTAGGCTAGTAACAGTTAGGCTAGCAACAGTTAGGCTAGTAACAGTTAGGCTAGTAACTTCCAAACTAGAACTCTCTTGAGCTGTATGAAAACTGAACAAAGAATCCTGAACATCAGCGGTGAGTGACCCAAACATAAACTTAACCTAAATCCAAAATTTGATCCTCTGCAAATGTTCCTAAAATGTCCCAGAATCTACTTCCGGGTTTTTCCCGATCGCTTTTTCTCGCATTAAAACAGTATTTTTGTCATGAAAACCTTAACAGATACATCTGAAAAAAGAATTACAAGATTACAAGAGTGCGTTGCCAAAGGGCAGTGGTCATTATTGTTTTGAGAGGTCCGTTATCAAGAAATAATGAGCGGTAGAACATTTTGAAATTACATTCAAATCAATGGAGCGGTCTACTGCTGCTGTGAGGAGCCGTGTGATAATACAGATTAAACATCTATGGAGCTAGCTCACAGTTTGGTATTATTGGCCTCTGAAATCATCTTTAGATAAAAAAAAAAAAAGAGAGGACCAATAAGTTCCTGGCCTGAAGTGTCAAATAGTGACTCACAGGGCTCTGTCTTACAAGAATGCAAAAAATATTTTCAATAAGACTGGTTTTCTTACATTTTACATTTACAAAACTGCTTCTGTAAGGACAAACTTCAAGAATATTTTATGAAACAGAAAGTCAGGTACCCCAGCTTTAAAAACAAGTAAAGAAATTACCAAGTTGTGTCACAATCACAGGCTCCTTTTCTTTTAGCAGAAGGTAAAAGCGGTGTTTGGTCTGCGGGCTTCCCTTGTCCACAGTGTGAAACAGCGCCCTCATCTGGTCTGTGGATGTTACTGCAGCAGTGATGGCCGCCCTGTCCTCCTCTGAGAGCACCTCCTGACACATCCATGCTTCGATCAGGGCGTCAGGTTGTTCTGCCTGAGCAAGGATCTCCTCTCTGAAGTCCAGGAGGCTGACCACTGAGGGACAAGTTATGATTATTGTTATCTTGATTTTTATTTACCAAGGACTCCTGTTTATATTTGTGTTTATTATAATGTGTTCCTTCATAAAATAAATGTGACTTTATTATTCGACCTGTGTCATTCATCCTGTAAAGTAGTAGTAGTTTATTCAGACAAGCATAGGAAAACAAAGTTACAGTTAACTGTCAACAAAACAACAGAATTACAATATGCGACCGAAAGGTTCAGGCTGAAGTTAAACTGATTTCACCAGACCCAGTACAAGGAAACAGATAGTTTCCATAGGAAGACTAAATATTCCAAGCTGAAAAAAATAAGGTACAAACTGATACAGTATCAGCAACTTCCTGAAACGACGAGTAACAAAACCTACGCAGACACAGGGAGAACATGCAAACTCCACTCAGAAAGGCACTGTTTCAACCGGGATTTGAACTCAGGGCCTTCTTGCTGAGAGGCGAGAGTGCTATCCACTCAGCCACCGTGTCGCTAACAATAGGAAACAGCACCAACAATGAGTGAAAAAAGTGTTTGTTATTCTTTACAATTTCCAAGCCAAAAAATATTATGACTTTAATCCTGGTGTGTGAAATTTCAACTAATGTAAATATTTCTTACCATTCTCCGGTCCTGATTCAGACATACTTGTCACTCACTTATCCTTGTTATTTTGAATGATGTGACAGACCTGAAAATAAATGTGACAAAACAAGTAAAAAAAAGAAAAGAAATATCATGAATAAATAAATAATACAAATAAAAGAATATAACTAAAAAAATAAAACAATAAATGGATAATGGATAAATTAATAATTGCGTAAAATAATATAAATAAATAAATAAACAAAGTGAATAAATAGAATGGAACGTATTTATTGGTGAAACTGACCTCATGGCTGTGGTGCTACGTCCTGCCCTGGTCCCTGGGTCTGTGTTAAAGGTGCTGCAGCTGGATGTGTCTGCCCCAGGGACACGCCCTCTGTGTGGGCTCCTGATAACCCATGTGTGGGTCTGAGCTGGGAGTGCGCTCGGCTGATAACTCTGCTTCATCTGCCTGAGTTTATTATTTGCAAATATATGTTATGATCAAAACAGGGCTTCACATGGATGGCTTTTATACTTTTTTATTTCAATTTTTGTTATTTTCTTATGACTTAGTTGTATCACTAGACAACTTCTGAATTATATGTTTAATAAAGGCTGAAGAAATTTTTTATTGCAAAGTAGAATATAGGTTTTTATTAATTCAAAAATGATAATAATGCATCAGTTTTATTTAGCGCTTTTTTGGACATGTCGTTATTCTTTCTCTCCATACACGGTGGTGATAAACTACTACTGTAGCCACAGCTGCCCTGGGGCACACTGACAGAAGCGAGGCAATCAGTAGTAGGCTTTATTTATTTATATACCGCCTTTCACAGACCAGAGTCACAAAGCGGTTTACAATTGTTATTTTTGGGCACTTGTCCTCTCACTCCACACAGAGATGGGAGCGGGGTCGCCGAACAGGAGGCGCATGCCAGACCTATTGTACATATTTTTAGTGGTAGGGGAAACCGGAGTACCCGGAGGAAACCTACGCAGACACGGGGAGAACATGCAAACTCCACTCAGAAAGGCCCTGGTCCGGCCGGGATTCGAACCCAGGACCTTCTTGCTGAGAGGCGAGAGTGCTATCCACTCAGCCACCGTGCCGCCCACTCAGCCACCGTGCCGCCCAGTCTGTGCCATCGGCCCCTCCCACCACCACCAACCATTCACACACACACCAGACTCATTCTAGGCAATGTGGGTGAAGTGTTTATTTGTTTATTTATTTAGATCCCCATTAGCTACTGAAATAAAACAGTAGCTATTCTTCCTGGGGTCTTAAAAATTTCTTAACAGATATTACATCAAAGCTGTGCAACAATGAAGACAAACACAGAAGTGCACACGAACACATATACAAGGAACATGACAATACAATATAACGTATACAGACAACATATACACATACATATACACGCATATAAACACACATAAACATATATACACACACATATAACATAACATAACATAAAACAGTACAAGCTCTTCTATACAAAATATTGCCACCCTCTGGGTATTAAAAGAAAAGAAAAAAATAAATAAAATAAAAGTTACTATAGCTCATTATAAAGTACATATTAATTGCATAACTATTACAGTTACTCCAAAGTAAATAAATACAGTCTAAGTCTTTTGGAAAAACTGATATTGTGAATCTCTAAAACCAAGAATTGCGGGAGCGAGTTCCATGCCACCATTGCCCTATAGCACGATGTCCTCTGAAGTTGATTTGTTCGACAGGCAGGTAACAAAAAACGGCCTTCGCTTGATTGGCGAGTGAAATGATAATGAATGTTACTAAAAAAAGTCAATTTATTATAAATTATTTCAGGTGCTTTTAAAGTAATTGTATTTTTTAGGAATTTAATAAGAGAATAAGTGATTCTGCTTCTTACATGCAGCCATGTTAACTGGTTGTGCATGTCCCTAATACTTGTTCTAAAAGAACAGTTTAGGACAAGCCGAGCTGCTTTATTTTGTGCAATCTGTAATCTATTTATATTATTCTCTGTAGATGTTGCCCAAATGATGGAACAATAGTCCAGATGACACAACACTATTGATTCCACCAAAGTTTTCCGTATTCGAGTTGGTATGCATTTTCTGCAGTGCCGAACCGCGGCCATACTCCTGCCCATTTTATTCAATATTTGTTTTATCTGAGCATTCCAAGTCAGCCTGCTGTCCACAGTTACGCCGAGCAACTTGGCCTCAGCCACTTGTTCAATGATCGAACCACCAACAACCAAGTTCAGCACAGGGGAATCTTTTAAAAGATGATTAGATCCCAACAACATACATTTGCTCTTCGAAACATTAATAATCAACTTATTTTCTTTGATCCAATTTTCTATTAATTTTAGTTCATCATTTAATATAGTATTAAGTCTAGTAGAGTCATAATCTGACACATAAATAGTTGAGTCATCTGCATATAGGGCAATACTGGCACACTCTAAAATGAAGGACAAATCATTTGTAAAAATAGAAAATAACAGTGGCCCAAGGCAACTCCCTTGAGGCACCCCACAATGCAGAAATTTTGTCTCAGAATAACTACCATTAAATAGTACATTGAACTCCCTATTTGTAAGATAGCTACAGATCCATTGGATTGCACACTTTTCAAAACCATAACAACTTAACTTTTCCAATAATAAGTCATGATCAATTAAATCAAATGCTGCACTCAGATCTAGCAGTACAGTCCCAACTAATTTTCTATCATCAATGTCTTGCAACCAATCATCCGTCATCTGAACTAAGGCTGTCGTTGTGGAGTGCCCTTTCTTATAAGCATGTTGATAGGGTGAATTCAACCCATTATTAGAGAAATACAAATTAATTTGATCATACACTATTTTCTCCGTAATCTTACTCAAAATTGGTAGAATACTTATAGGTCTGCTATTATTCCCAGAAAAAGGCTCCTTATTGTTTTTGGGAAGAGGCACAATTTTAGCTTTTTTTCCAGTTAGCAGGAAAAACACATTTTTCTAAACTTAGATTAATAATATAGCATATAGGCATATTAATTACATCAGCAACCATCTTTAATAACTTGACATCAAGTTCATCAGAACCTGCAGGTTTATCTTTCATTGACTTTAATATGTTTTCTACCGTCTTCAGACTTACTCGGTCAAGTTTAAATGTACATGATTTATTAAGCATAATTTTATTTTTAATTGTCTTAAACGATAAATCATGGTTTGACTTTGAAATCATGCCTTTTTGTAAATTTTGAACTTTCTTTATAAAATAATCTCCTAAATAATTTGCTATATCAACAGGTTTAGTCAAAAAAGTGTCCACCCACATCTAAAAATGTTGGTACAGATTTAGCTCTCCGCCCTGTTAATTGGTTTAATGTATTCCATAATTTATTCCTGTCTGATTTTACTTCTTCAAGTTTGTATTCGTAATGAATCCTCTTTTTTGATCTGTTTAATTTTGTAACATAATTTCTTAACTGCTTATACCTTTCCCATAATGCATTATCCCCTGAGGAGATTGCATCTGACTTTAATTGATCTCTTTCCCTCATATATTCTTTAAGTTCAGCATCTAACCATGGAGAAGCAATATTTCTCACTGTCATTCGTCTTAATGGGGCATGTTTGTCAACAACTGGCGTCAATAAATTTGTAAAGACCTCCAAAGCTAAATCAGGATCTACTTCCCGTAATACTTGTGACCAGTCAATATTTCTCATATCGGCACAAAAACTAGCCTCATTGAAATACTTAAAAATCCGTTTAATTATTATCTTCTGGCCTGGTTTAGGGACTTTGGTTTTTCTATTAATTGCAATTAAATTATGATCACTGAAGCCAACACAAATTGAAATTGCTTTTGAACACAAATCTATTGCATTAGTAAAAAGTAAATCTATGCATGTCTCTGTTTTTGTCCCATCTGTTTTATAAATAATTCTTGTTGGATTTGTGACCACTTGTGACAAATTACAAGTGTCAGCTATAGACTGCAACTTATTTTTTAATGAGCAATTATTCAAACTCCAATCAATATTTAGGTCACCAAGAAAATAAATCTCCTTCTTTAAATCACAGGCTTTATCCAACATATAACAGATTCGATCTAAATAGACTATTGGCGCATTGGGTGGCCTATAGCAGCAACCAACAAGAATAGGTTTCAAGTGTGGTAACTGCACTTCCAACCACAGCGCTTCAACCCCAATACAACCGAGATCCTGTCTAATTTTTACTGGTATTTGATGCTGAACATAAAAAGCCACTCCTCCTCCATTTATATTTCTGTCACATCTATATAATAGGTAACCATTTACATGCAAAAGGGAGTCGTTTATAGTCGCATCTAAATGTGTTTCAGTTATTGCCAAAATATGCAAATTATTTCCTAGAATCCCTGTAATATCCTGAATCTTATTTCGCAAACTACTAATATTCAAATGAGCTATTTTTAATCCTTTATTTGAGAGTATTTTATTCATCACCATTATTTATTTTACACGAATGATCACTTCTAATGAAACATATTGAAGAGCTATCAAATGAAGACAAAAGACAAAAAACACACACAACACACAAGGACACACATACACACACATTCCTACATATGCATCTCCATTTTGCCAACATTCCCTTCTCAACATCTCGAGTCAAGCCAAGAATACGGATATTGTATTTCCGACTATGATTCTCCAAGCGATCGGCTTTCTCTTTCAAGTCCGTGTTCTCTTTACACAAACTTTCGTTTGCCGACTCCAGCGCCGTAACTCTGATCTCCATACGGTTCAGCGATTCCTCCATAGCAGCAACTTTGTTGGAACACTCAGTCATGTCTTTTTTAACGGCATCAAGTTGCGGTTGGAGTTTATCAACCGCCACGTTGATTTCTTCACGTATTATGGTTCGGATTAATTCTGACAGCTCCTGCTTGCTGTATTTTTTCCTGCTTCCATGTTAATCACAGGCACCTGTTCAGCGGGGCCGAGTCCACTTAGCTTTGTTTGCGCCCTGGTTTGCTTCTTCTTTAACATATCCCAGCTCTCTCACCAGATCA